GTAAACAACAAAGTATTTTATGTAAATAAACAATCCAATTGAAACATTTTGTCATTGACATTGATTAGCTATATTTTTAGTTATTACTTTTATGGCATTTTCCTATATGAAATATGTCAATGGCCAATTATTTAAGTTAATCAATACGTGGGATTTTTATATTTGAATTATAAAATGTTTAATATTTTTTTCTTTGTTTAGTACCTGCATGTTGGTGTCATCTATTATTTAAATAAAGTTCAAATAATTTATATTTTTAATGGCAAAAAAGCTACGAAAAAATTACCTGTAAAAAAACATTTTAACCATATCTTTAGTCTGAATAGATCTTATACAGCCTGAAGTTTGTTAAAATGGGAAGAAAAATGTTATTATGAAATACTCACCAAAAATTAAGGACCCTGCAACTAGTGTTGTACCTGTGAAAATCCTGGACCTAACTAATGTAGTACCTATAAGAATCCCAGACCCAACTAATATACCAATTTTTAATTTGGTACTCAACTTAGATGCACCCAAAACAATTAGTGGTTAGGTCTATTATCGCGTTCAACGAATCACTCCGTATATATTATGGGGCAAACGCAAAAGTATATGCGTATAGGTACGACGAAATGTGAAACTGAAGTTTTAAATCATACAACCATAGATACACGTGTAGGTACAGATTAATAATATAGACGTCGTGCATTTTAACAATAAACGTATATTTATATTATAATTGATAGCTTATCCTGGAATTTTTCATTACAGTAGGGATAAACTCAGTCAAAATATTCCTATGAAAAAAAATATATGATCTAACGGGATATTCGTGTTATGATACATTCAAATATACTAAAAAATATTTTGATTTCAACGCAATCATCATAATTTGTCCCCCCACCCACGACCCAAACGCAGACAACTGCGAAAACATATCTGGATTTTGAATTTTAAATATTTCACTCGAGGTTGTATTGTTCAATAATAGTCACAGAAGAAAAAACTTTATTCATATGATTAATCAATATTGATTTACAAAATGGCTATTTAGACACCTTGAAAAAAAATATAAAAACAATAAATTGAATTAAATAAATTTTTTTTTCATTATAAAAATAAAAATAAAAATGTTAAATACATTATAATATATGGTTCAATAGATGCTTTATATTTACACAAAAATAAAAATTATAAACATTTTTCAAAACAAAAGTTATTTCATTTGTCTGGTCTTCCTAGCTGAAAATGTCTGTTTTATATATAGTATAACCTACCTAATAACTGTTAGTAAAAAATATAGTTATCTGTTTTTTAATTGAGTATAAAAACAGATGATTCAACTCTTGTTTTGATAGTTGAACTTAATTATTATTAAATATGATAAAATATGATAAAATAATATTCTAAATATTCAACTTTCCATATTTAGTTCTAAAATAATGATAGAATTTTTAAACTTTTGAATAACACGAAATAATTGAACAACGTCAAGCGAGTCATTGAACCTTATAATTTATTAACACTAGGAATCTATAGAAATAATAAGGCTTGGAAATTTTGTCTTTCCACATAGCTTGTGTATTTAGTATACATAGCTAACTTTTTATTTAAATCCATCATAATTTATCAATTGTAAAGATGGTCGAAGTACAATGAATAGATCTTATATTACATATTCTATATAAAATATTCTATTTTATATATTTTTTTAATCAATTTTCAGAAAAAACTATGATTCGTAGTAATACCTAAATAGTATAAATAACTGAGAAACTAATCCTTCGAATTTTGAATAAGGTAAAAATAAGTACCTACATCATAATTAAAAAAGTAAATAAAATTAAAAAATACTCAATTAATAATTTATTTGCAGGTAAAAAAAAAATGGAGGGTTATCATTTGAAAAACAGTAAGTATGCATCGCCATGGGAAACTCCATCTCAAGTAGTGTGAAATATCTCAACAATTTGAAAGTGGTCTTTAAGAAGTGAGTAATGAGTAGTACCTATATAATATAAAAACTCCAAAATCCAAAATTTGAATAAATGAATGAAAACATGGGAGTTATCATGCTGGACGAATCACTATCTGTATTATATTGTACTGAAATAAATTGGAATGGACCAAGTTTACTCTCAAGGAGTTCATTCTTTTCACAATAATAATGCAAACAGACAGGCGGTCGTTATTTCTGCGGCGCAGATCCCTCGTTAAATCGTTTTTATTTCCTGCACGACGGACACTTTTCGTGACGTGGCGTTTAATATCCGAATCCCCGAAATCCTGGGGCGGAAAGGATAGGAGAGACGCAGTGAAGTATACATAAAAATAAACTATTTCACCAATCTATCACTCCGGGCCACGACAAACTATTTACAATATACAAACAAAATGAACGTCACGTCTCATTGGCATTGCAGCGGTGGGACAATATTTTATTAATATTTATTCGTTTATTATTCGTTGTTATTATTAATATTATTTTTATTTATGAACACAATACATGCGGGACGTGTAGGAAATATCATTTTGATTTAATCAAGGGTGATGTATACACAGCAGCACTCATATTTTGGAAATAGTGATTTTTCAATGTTTGAATACAAAATGAAAAATTTTGATTTTAGTTTCGGTTTCACTTACTTCTATTAATTTTATAGATTTATAATTTTTATATTTTTGTATCATATATATTTATTTTTATTCTATTATGATATTTAATTAGATATTATAGATACCTAATTTTTCTTTTTTTCTTCAATTTAAAATATCAACTTTACACAATTTTTCTTAATAAACGCAAGTGTCCAACAGTGTCCAATAAATGAATAAGAACACGTTTAGCACAAAAAACATGTTCCAACAAAAATGTACGCCACTGGCGTGATCTTGGCAGTGCAAAGTTGGGAATGCCCCCCTGGGTAAAAAAATATCCAACAAATTTTGAAAGTTGTCCAGCAAAGTCCAACAATCCATCAACAAAGTTGTTACACTGGTTGGGTTGTTGTCTGCTAAAGTTGCGCTGTTAAGTTCACAATTGGAATTAAAAGTGCACATTTTCTAATATAAAATAATATTGCAACAGTCGAATGTTATTCATAAGCATACACAGTGTCACATTAATCTAACATTTTTAATTATACATATAGTTATAATATATTTTTTATTTTATGTTGATCCTCAAATATTTACCACCCCGAGGCAATTGCCCCTCCTTGCCCCCCGTTGAACACGGCTCTTCTTATGCATAAACTTTTCGCGCAGAGTTGGCCTAAATATTGTTTTATGAGCACATATTATTAATATATTATTTAAAAGCATAGCCGGTTGCCACCAAAAAATATATGCCTTTCCTTCTCCTGTAGAATCGCTTTTCCACCAAATAATAAATAATTGTTGCAGCAGATTCTATTTTTCGCGTCAAACTGGTTTCATAGGTACCTGATAAATCGTGATCGAGAATCACAAGAAAAATGTGTATAAGGTAAATAATTATTATGTGATTTTTATAATGTACCTATGATATAAGCAATATTTCTACAAAATTTTCCACTCAATATTTAAGTAAGTAGAGATGTTTACTGTACTTTCTTTCATAGTTTTTAATTAAAATTAAAAATTTTCCATGTTTAAATTAAATATTTCAACAACAACAAATTTCATGAAACTTTATAGGACTTTAATCATAACAGTATAATAATAACATAGTGGTCAATATTAAGTTGAATTGTAACAAAGTGTAGGTATTTATTATGTAAACCTTTTTATAATAATTCGACTCCGTTGCTGCAGAAAGTAGGGGTTTGTTAAGTAATACCACACAAAACGAACCGGGTAAACGGTTACATATTATATTATTATATGAAAGTTCCGACGGGGAAAAAATCCTTTTTATATATAAATGTATGAAGATGTAACTAAAAATGCATTGCTTATAAAACATATACAACAGGTGTATCTGAAATAATGTAATGTAATTTATAATATTTTAGAGTCTGAAAATTTTATCAAATATTTCAAATTCTTGAAATGTTTCAGTAGGTATTTGATTTGATATTTTAAATTAATTTRATTTGAACATAGGTACATAAGTGCATAGCCTTAGTAAGTTTTTGAACTTTTACTTATATTTAGTCACGCAAAAATAGTAAGTACCATCATGGTGATAAGCTGTTTCCCTTGAAAAAACTAAATTCCACTAACAAATCGTCGAAAACAAGACTATAATATAATAGAGGCATTACGTCGACCATGGAATTCAACCATATAGCATTGATATCAATAATTATAACCCGTAGATTAACTAAAGCTAGATAGTGAGAAAAGTTGAAATTTTGGATAAATCAAAAAGTGGCGAGAACCACTTTACAGCACACTGCTGTMACGGGCACTGTTATGGAAATTGTCTAAATACAATATGTATATAAATATTCTGTATTTTTAAAATTAAAATAATAAAACCTAATCTCTTTATTTCATTGTTTTATAATTGTTTATGGTCTCCTTGTTTTCTTATCCTCGGCAATTTTTCTGAAACTCAACTTCCACGGATAAAAAGTGGAGGATTACTCTCCCAGATCGTATACAATAGATGGAGCCATTTTGTCCGTGTACACATTTTTTGAAGCAAACTATATAAGCTACAAATCTCTGTCGGACATGTTTGATGTGCGCGAGTCTGAGGCAAACCGTTGCATAAGTAGGTGTTGCAAGTTATATTTATGCACATAAATTTACAAAGATATTGGAGACATTTGTTTTCAGACATCAAACATCTCCATCAGAGGCTTGTACTGTACTGTATAAAGAATAAAGATAACATACTCATATAATTTTCACATGTTATTATTTATTATATATTGTTACATTATGACCATCTTAGTCGTTGATTTCTTGGATGTCAGATGCTGGTCATACAATATATCCATTACGACCATCACTTGCTCTTCGATGGCTGATCTGGAGGTGCTACCTGTGCTGAAGTACATTATTATGACATATTAAAATCAGATTCATCATTTCTTCTTGGAACTTCCGCTCTTCTTGGAGCTGTTACTCTTCTTAGAGCTGCCTCTCTTCTTATTACCATCTTTTGCCGTCACTTCCGGCAATGCTTCCACGATATTCGGCTCTGGTGACGGCGTCTCCGGCACCGTTTCCGGCTTTGGCACTAACTTTGGCACACGTACCTCGATCTGCAGCCTGGCTTTCTCGTCCGGTTCGCCCGGCCGCTTGCCCAACCACAAAACGAACACGTGCTCATCGTCACTTACTGGCAGCCCGGTAACCGGTCCAAACGCCGGTTTTACAGACGCTGGCAACATTTCCATCACATGCTTTCGATCCTTCATCAACGGTTGATCTCCAGACTCGTCCACCGTTTGCTGGTCATAATCTTGATCGTTTTCCTGATCTGGATCTATATCTTGATCCTGTTCCAGATTACGGTCCTGTGGATCACAGTCCCAATCTTGTTCCTGATCATACTCCACCTCTTGTTCCTGATCGGACAGCTGTTGCATGGTGTGACTATCGCCATCCAACTCGTCATCTTGCTCCGGTTGAATCCCATTTGGGCGCATGTTGTAGTAAACTGCGCCATTGCCAGTAGTTTCAGGGTGTTGCGTCAATCCGTCGTCATGGCACAACGAGAATGTGGCCCGGTCACCGCGCAGGCCTACGTCACCTGGCATAAGCCGCATGGCGTCTCTGTCCGCCACCCCACCACAAGACCTTTCTTTGTTCTTGACACAATATGTCTCCAAGACCTGAACAGTGATCGTGAATGTGAATTAAATAATATTTTACTGATATAGATTATTTCAATTACATTATTTAGGTTCAGGTAGGTACTATGCATATTGCATAGTGCATATTATGTCGCATCCACTTAGTGTAATCGTGTTTTTCATGAAATGGATATCCATTTCATTAACTACGATCAAATCGTGTAAGTCAAATTTTAGTTCGTGAAATGAACATATATTTTATCCATTTCATGAAATGAAAACTCTTGTTTTACACTTTGTGTAATATTTTAAATTAATTACACCAATAGGTAACTTTCGCGAAATTGAAATCTTTAAATATTATATTAATAAACTCTGATTTGTTATGAAAAAATAAAATCAGTTTAAATTAAGTTTACTTTTTAATCTATTACATTATTATAATTATTTATAAATATAAAAAAAATAAATTATAAATCACAAAGTGTAAAATAAGAGTTTTCTTTTCATGAAATGGATAAAATATAATATGTCCATTTCATGAACTAAAATTTGACTTACACGATATGATCGTAGTTCATGAAATGGGTATCCATTTCAAGAAAAATACGATTACACTTATTGGATGCAACACATACATTACCTAAAGAGGTCTTATGAAATTATACAATTTTTGATGGTTAAAGATTTTATATAGGTGGGTATGAGTTTAAGCTCAAAAGCAATGTTAAGTACTATTAACATTTTGAAATAAAATCGACTCAATCTTTCATTAAAAAATTGACTGGTAGATAGGAATAGCACCTATATAAAAATTTAATGGCCTAAATTGTGTGACTCAATAAAAAAAAAAAATATTATTCGGTTTAAGTAGTTCTAGCGGTATTTGCGCCTATAATAATGTATATGTTACGGGCAAAGGAGACTTTCGGCCAATGTTTACTTTGCCCGTAGTAAATTGGACATTGTAACTTAATCTATTAACTATAATATTATGACACCATTAACTATAGTTTGTTAGTTATTATCTCCTCAATTATCGTCGTTTCAAGATTATATTATCGGTAAATCGGTTTTACCTTTTAGACATTGTACAATAATTATTATCACAATCATTGAATCGTACAACATGTGAGTTGTTAATACTATTTAGTATATCGCAGTCGAAAGTCGTGTCGTATTGTAGGGCCAATCAAGATGTGGAAAACATACTTGCCACTTGGTTACAAGACAACAAAACAAAAAAATGGAGTGAAGGACTAAAATTTGTTCAGTTGATGAAAAATCGGTCATTACATCATGGAATAAAATGCAGTCCATATGAAGCAATGTTTGGATGTAGTGCTAAAATTGTATTAAAATCATCGGTACTTCCAATATCAATAATTAATAAATTAAAAACTGAAGAAGATTTAGAGGCAGCTATTACATCCATGAATATTGGAGATAATTGTGAAGTTGATGAAACGTTGATTGAAGAAAAAAATGAAGAAGAAAAAATAGATTATAGAATAAATAAAATAACTGCTGTAAGAACAGAGTCAGTTGTAAATTTAAAAATTCAAGCGAGTCGAATGAAAGAAGCATCCGAAAAAAGATTTTGTGAGACAAAAGTGAGTGAAACCGTCAAAATCAAAATACCTGATGTAGACAGAGCTCGCAGCGACCTTCGTTGTATTCTTGGAGTTATCCTATCAGGTAAAACACGAATTTTACTATAAATTTAAGTATAATATTTAATACAACATTTTAAAATTTTAATTTATTGTTTTAGTTCATGACGATAACTATAAGATAGGAACCACCGAAGGAAAGTTGGAACACACATATAGTCGTAACCAGTTTACTACGTTCAAAGAAAAATTGGTTACTGTAAATAAGGTGCCTGATCTAACAATTACATTACGAGAAGCAGCGAGGAAATATTCGAATTTAGGAGGACAGGGTTATGATAGGTGTAATTRTACCCAACAATGTTCAAATAAAAAATGTAAATGTAAAGCGGCAGGGAAAAAATGCAATTCAAAATGCCATTCTAATAATAATTGCAAAAATAAATAATATTAATATGATGAAATTTATGTATTGTAGTCAAAATAAATGTCTTATGTAATATGTATTATTTGATGTAATTGTGATCAAAAAAGTAACGATAATCGTAAATTATTAGTTTAGTTAAGTTAATAATATTCAAATAATAAAGTAATAATTAGCAAGATTGATAAAATAATAAATGTTTATAATTATATAAATAAAAATGTTTAGTTTAYATTGCCCAAACGGCAAACTTTACTGGGCAATTCCATACAGTCCGGGCAATGTTTAATTTTGTCTAAATTGCCCGTCATAATCTGGCAGTACCATAATGCCCGGGCAATGTAAACAGTGCCCGAAAGTCTACTTTGCCCGTAACATAAATATAAATCTCATTATGTTATAAGTTATTTTTATGAATTGACAATAATAATTGCCATCGCTATAATTCCGCTACTCACGTTAGGCGCCACTCCGGTTCCACGAAATGGACATTCCCTGATATTACATTCGGGATCTATTACACAACCATTGTACCTGTCCTGATATTTTTCCGGGTTTTCTTTGATTGGGCACCAAGCCGTATCGAACATCGCCTTCATCTGATTTAAAGCAGTTATGGCACATTTGATCATATTTTTATCCCGCCGGCAACACCCTTCAGATTTTAATATCTGCCTGCAATCGTGTGTCATTATTACACCTTACCTTCAACTATTTGAATTTGATAAAATATAAGTTTTTGTTAAAATAATTAATTGTCTACAATTATTGTTGGTTTAAAATTTATTTTTAAAACATAAATTAACTGAATAAATAAATCTCGTCACTATGATTCTATAAAATTATATCATTTTTAATATAGAAACTATTAATATAGAAATTATTTTTTAAACAGAAAATTTAATAATTCTACTATAGCCAGATGMCTATAGCTGTGTATTTATATCATATCAATATTAAATCTACTTTATATGGTATAACATTTATCTTGAGCATGATTATTAATATTATAAGTTATAAGAAAAATCATTTAAAACTCAACGAAGTCCAGTTGGATTTAAAATACAGTCAAAATTAAAACAAGTTTTAGAAAAAAATACTCGTCTATCACTTTTGAAAAAAATTTCTTGCATTTTATTGGGTATAAGAGACATCGAAGAATTAGATGAATTTTCAGATGATATTTCTAGTATTGACGTTCCATACTTCAAGTTTGCAACTATCACATCGGTCGACGTCCAACGCTCATTTTCAACGTACAAGACATTTCTGACCGATATCAAGAAGATCGTTCAAATTTGAAAATATTAACAAACACATTATAATACAGTGCAATTTTCAAGGTATAAACTAAAATTTATAATATATAATATTTATACCTAGTTATTATTTTATTTTTATTTTTTTATTGATCAAAATACAGTACGTATTTAAGTATTTAAATTTTCTACATTAAATTAAATTATACAATTCTGTTTTTTTTTTTGTTTAAGAATAAAATTAAGTTTTGTGTATCCTGTTGGTTTGGTCCAAGTGCTTGACAGATTTGTTCAGAGATGTAAAATTGATTTCGATACTGGTTGTATTTTTGACATTCATCGATGATGTGGTTGACGGTTAAAAGTACGCTGCATGACTCACACATAGTGAGGGATCGTCTTTACTCATCAAGTAGCTGTGTGTTAAGTGTGTGTGACCAATTCGGAGGTGGTTTATTATGGTTTCATCTTTTCTATTGAGTTCAGGATTTTTCCACGGGCTTATATTATTTTTTATTTTGTTGAGTTTTTGCCAGAGTGCCATTAATTATTTGAGTAAAGGTTAATTTCGTTCTTTGCATCTGCGAATGTGATGGAATTTATGGTTGAAGTTGATGTAGAGGCAATTGCATTATAAGCTTCTTGGTCAGCCATTTAATTTCCGGGAATGCCTATGTGCTCCGGGATCCATACAAAAAGGATGTGTTCATTTTTTTTCCTGCAAAAAAAGTTTCTTTTTGAATGAGCTTTGTGATATCTGGTTGGTTTCGTGTATTTGTGATGGCGATTAAGTTGCTGAGTGAGTCGCTAAGTATTATAAATTTGATTTGGTGGTTTGCGTATTCTGTGTGAAGATATTTTACGGCTTTGTATATTGCCATCGCTTCTGCTGTAAATATTGACGCTTGAGGTGAAAGTTTGTATGCTATTGTTTGATTGATTATTATCATTACGGACCCGACTCCGTTATTAGTCTTGGATGCCTCAGTGTATATGTGTACCCTATTTGGATGTTCTTGCAAAATGTTTTTGAGCATGTTTTTATATAATATGGAAGGCATTGTGTTTTCTCTTTTGAATTCAGTTAGAGTAAGGTTAACATTGAATGTTGTGTTCCATGGGGGGAAATTATGTGGTTTTCTTTCTATAATACCTATTGTTTATTTTTAATTTTTATATTATCTTTTTCAGCTTCCTGTATATATGCATTTATTATTTTGATGGCTGGGTTATTAATGTTTCTTTTGGTTCTGGCACAATATAGTAGAAGTAGTTTTTCTCTTCTAAGGTTAGGCGAAATTTCATTAGCAATGTTTCTAATACTCTCAATTGGGCTGGATTTGTATCCCCCTATTGAAAGTCTTATTGCAGTATTAAGTTTAGTTTGAACCATGTTTAAGTGTTTAGTTTTGGCATTTTTTAATAATATAGAACCATAGTCTGTTTTAATTAAACCTTTATAGATCATTAAAAGAGATGAGCTGTCACCACTCTATGATGTGTGAGCAATTATTTTGATTATATTGAGTTTTTGAGATATCGAGTCACGGATATTTTTTAGATGAGGTGACCAATTGAGTTTGGAGTCGAATGTTCTTCCTAGAATTTTAATTTTATTATGGTGAGGTATAACTAAGTTATCTAGTGTTATATTGAGAGCTTTTTTTTTGTTTTGTTTTGTAAAGATAATACTTTGTGATTTGAAGTTAGAGAATGAGAAGCCAGTTTTTTTTACCAATCAGTTAAGCTGTTAGCACTTATTTGGAGGAACTCTTGGACAGTTTTTAGGTTATTGCTTCTGCAAAATATGTTAAAGTCAGTGAATAAATTAGCTTTTACGGGAATTTTAATTGTTTCAACAATGTCATTAATGACCAAGAGAAACCTAGTTATTATACTTACTGATTTATTGAAATTTATCAATTATGTTTACATAATGAAAAAATCATACATTTACAATTGTCCACAAAAAGAAGAACAATGGAATATTTTTCCATTGTAAATAAATATTATTAAAATTAATGAAAATAATTTTTTTTTCAAAACATATTATAGCGCATATTTTATATTTTTTTAGTGCTAGAAGTCTTGAGCCCTGATTATAACGAAAATTTGATATTAATAACGAACATACTAAGGAAGCTAAAGTAGCTATGACCTCTCTAAAATTACGCATCTCCTCCATTCTAAAAAAATATCCTCTGCGTTCACAAAATATTAGTTCAAAATTAATAATCTAAAAGGTTATATGAGTGGGTACAACAAACATTATACTAGTCTATAATGTTACTGATTGACAGTATGTATCGAGCAGGTCATTATAACGAATGTGTTAAATTTGAACTGGTATTACATCATTGTACACGAAAAACGAATTTTGAACGAAAACAATTTATAAAATTTTACTTTTCAGTAGCTTTTCTGATTGGAAAACCAATCTGATTGGTGCATTGGGGAGGTCTAAATTTAAAATTCTCTGCAATTTTTAAAAGCATCGGAAAAAAAAAAAAGTAAAGCAAAATATTTCAAATCTTTTTAAGTTATGTATTGACATTTGAAATTTTCAATCTTTTTTTTTATGGATGGCAATACAATTGTAATCGTTGGGTAAAAAGCTTCAAAACTTAATACAAGGCCCATACATAGTATGTATATACTATATAATCGCAATAGTAGTTAAAAAATATTAAAAATAAATTTTCACAATTTTTTTGAATAAGCATTAAAAGTTCGAATTTCCGCAAAATATGAAAAACCACGAAAATTTACAATTTATTTTGAGTTAAAAATGTATCTTTTAAAATCTAAGATTTGAAAATTCAATACCTACAAGATTTTTCATGAGTTTGTTTACTTTTATCAAATAAAAAATATTTACCAGAAAGTCAAATTAAATTTTTATAAGTATTTGAACCTAGAAACTTGAGAGTTACACCATATGTTTATTTTATCAATTCATACACTTGGTAAAATTTACAAAATATTTCAACAATTTTCAAATTATTTATTTACATTTGAAATTTTCCGTTTTTTTAGTTTTTTATTCTATAAATGATGATAAGACTATTATATTAATCTAATAAATAAGATTACCTAATTAATTTTGTCAAAAAACTTGAAAATGAAACCATCTCCCCTCAGAATCGTTTTTCGTATACAATGATAAAATATCATTGAATTCAAATTTAATTCCATCCATTACAGTAATCCACTTTTAACCTGTCTGTACAGTAAAGCTAGTTACAGTACTTCAAAATTTTTATTTTTTTTTCTATTCAAGTTTTTGAAGACGTGTTATATTTAATACGTTTTCTTAATTAGCTAGATTTAATAAAGCACTGATTTTCGGAATTGTTCGAAGTTGGAGTATGTAAAACAATAACTTATTTCAAAATAATCATGTGGGAATATTCCGACATAAATCCCGTACTTTTCATGTTATTCATTGCCCATATGAATTTCATAATTTTGGTTATTTTTATTTGTCAGGCAAATTTTTCATTCTGAATATATATAATATAAACATATTATTTCTGATGCGCGTGACACAATAATAATATATAGGTACCTCAATTATTGCTATATCTATTTGATATGACATGCTAATTAATCATGTGGGTAGGTATTATGTGCACAGGGGGTATAACTACTGCAAGACTCATATAAACTCGATCAAGTATAATTATTATATTATACAGGGTGATTGATTTGTCATAAAACACTCATTATTTCAAAAAGTATTGACYTTTTCAAAATATTTTTTTACATGGTTTCAAGTTGTTAAAAAACCAACGTTTTTATTAAAACATTTTATTTTTTAATATTTTTTATCCTTATCTTTTTTTAAGTTTTTACTTTTTTGAATGGCAACATAGAGTTTTAATTTCATAGCCCAAAGCAGAATATTTTTCTAAGTATTTTGATACATAGAAATCGAATTTGGGGCTAGTAGTTTCTGAGTTATAAGTATTTAAAGTTTAGACAAGCCGAGTAGTGGACAAACATTTTGCGGGGTAATCCCGTACCACTCCACTCTGCCTATCAAAATTTTAAATACTTATAACTCATAAACTACTAGCTCCAAATTCGATTTCTATGTAWCAAAATACTYAGAAAAATATTCTGCTTTGGAATATGAAATTAAAACTCTATGTTGTCATTCAAAAAAGTAAAAAACTTAAAAAATGATAAGGATAAAAAATATTTAAAAATATAATTTTTTAATAAA